CTCTAACTCCCCCACCCCCTTCCCTCCTCTACCTCCCCCCTCTTCCCTTCCCTCCCACTCCCCCTCTTCCCTCCTCTTCCCTCTAACACCCCCCCCTCCCTTCCCTTCCCACTCTACACTCCCCCCCTCCCCTCCCCTCCCTATACCCCACCCCACCCACCCCGGCCCCTGGAATAGGGTCTCTTTTTCGTCGTCTCTCTCCTTCTTCCTCTTTCTCTTCTCCGTCTATTTACTTTCTTTTCTTGATTCTTTTGCCTCCTTTCGCTTTCTTTCCAGTCTGTGTATTATCATTGCTATTTTTATCGTTATATTATTATATTTAATTTATTATTTATTATTATTATTATTCTCCTTATTTCTCTGGTTATCTTCTTCCATCCTTCTTTTCCTTTCTTTCTTTGCTCTTGAATCCTTTCCCACTCTATTTCTTTCTTTGTTTCTGCTCCTTCCTTTATTCTTATCTTCTTCCTTCTCTCCTTGTGTCATTCTCCTCTCTGTTCCTCTCTTCACTCTCTATTATTTTTTTTCTCTCTCTCTATTCCCTTTTTCTCTCTCTCTCTCTCTCTCTCTCTCTCTCCTCTCTCTCTCTCTCTCTCTCTCTCTCTCTCTCTCTCTCTCTCTCTTCTCTCTCTCTCTCTCTCTCTCTCTTCTCTCTCTCTCTCTCTCTCTCTCTCTCTCTCTCTCTCTCTCTCTCTCTCTCTCTCTCTCTCTCTCTCTCTCTCTCTCTCTCTCTCTCTCTTTCTCCATTCGCTTTTCTCTGTTTGCTTCCATTTTTCCTCCTTCCTTCTCCTCGTCGTTTCTCCTCACCTTGCTTCTTCCTCTCATCATCTCTCCTTATTTTCTATTTCCTCAATATTCACTATTCTCACTCCTCTCGCTATTTCCTCCTTCCATTTCTTCATCGTTTTTATCGTCTTTATCTCTCCTATCTTCTCTCTCATGTTTTATTCTTCATGCTTTTCTTGTATTCTTCTTCTTTATTATCTTCTGCCATTCTTTTTCCTCCTTCTTCGTTATCTTTCCTCTCTCTCTTCTATTAGAGTTTTATCCCATCTCTCATTGTTCGATTTATCCTTTCTCTTTCGTTCTCTTTATCCTTCGTTTTATCTTATTTCGTTTTTTTTATTATTCCTTCGTTTACATCATCCAATCTTCGCATCTTTTATTGATCTTTTTTATCGTCTTTTATCTCCCTCCTTTCGCATCCGATCTATTTACATCGTTCCTCATTACAGTGTTTTTCTCTCCATTCTATTTTCTTCTCACTTCCTTTCTCCTTACGATTTTTTTTCTATTCTTGTCCCTTCTCCTATCTCTTTCTTAGGATTTTTCATCTTTCTCCTTCTCTATCTTCTTTTTTTTTTTTCTATTGCCCCTTCTCCCATCTTCTCCTATCTCCATCTTACACTTTTTGTCTTACCCTTGCCCCTTCTCCCATTTCCTTCTTACACTTCTCATTCTATTCTTGCCGCTTCTCTCACCTCTTTCTTACGATATTTATCCTTTTCCCATCTCTATCTTTACAATTTTTATTCCACCTTCTCCCATCTCCTTCTCCTATCTCCTCTTACAATTTTTATTCTACCCTTGCCCCTTCTCCTTCTCCTATTATCTTCTTACACTTGTTATTTTACCCTTGCCCTTTCTCCTATCTCCATCTTACAATTCTTATCCTTCTCCCATCTTCTACAATCTTTCATTCCACAACTGCCCCTTCCCCCATATACATCTTACTATCTTATCTTACCCTTGCCCCTTCTCCCATCTCCTTCTATTTCCTTCTTACAAACTTTTATTCTACCCTTGCCCCTTCTCCTATCTCCTTCTCCAATCTCCTTCTTACAATCTTTATTCAACCCTTGCCCCTTCTCCTTATCCTTCTTACAATAATTATCCACCCTTGCCCTATCTCCTTCTCCTATTTCCATCTCCTATCTCCTTCTTACAATCTTTATTCCACCCTTGCCCCTTCTCTCATCTCCTTCTTACAATTTTTATCCTTCTCCCATCTCCTTCTTACAATTTTTATTCTCCATCTCCTTCTTCCTATTCCTTCTTACAGCTTTTATTCTACCTTGCCCCTTCCCCTATATCCTTCTTACAATTCTTATCCTTCGCTTACTCTCCTTTACAATCTTTATTCTACATTGCCCATCTCCTTCTCCAATTTCCATCCCTATCTCCTTCTTACAATCTTTATTCCACCCTTGCACTTCTCTTCATCTCCTTCTTACAATTTTTATCCTTCGCCCATCTCCTTCTTACAATCTTTATTCCACCCTTGCCCCTTCTATCTCTTTTTAATCTAAATTCTACCCTTGCTCCTTCTCCTATTTCCTTCTTACAATCTTTATTCCACCCTTGCCCCTTCTCCTTTATCCTTCTTACAATCTTTATTCCACCCTTGCCCCTTCTCCCATCTCCTTCTCCTATCTCCTTCTTACAATCTTTATTCTACCCTTGCTCCTTCTCCTTCTCCTATTCCATCTCCAATCTCCTTCTTACAATCTTTATTCCACCCTTGCCCCTTCTCCCATCTCCATCTTACATTTTTTTATCCTTCTCCCATCTCCCTCTTACAATCTTTATCATTCGCTCATCTCCTTATATTTTATCCTTCGCTCATCTCCTTCTTACAATCTTTATTCCACCCTTGCCCTATCTCCTTCTCCTATTTCCATCTCCTATCTCCTCTTTACAATCTTATTCCCCCCTTGCCCCTTCTCCCATCTCCTTCTTACAAATTTATTCCACCTTGCTCCTTCTCCTATATCCTTCTTGCAATATTTTTCCACCCTTGCCCTATCTCCTTCTCCTGTTTCCTCTCCTCCTTCTTCCAATCTTTATCACCCACCCCTTCTCTAATCTCCTTCGCTAATTCTCCTTCTTACAATCTTCTATTCCACCCTTGCCCCCTTCCTATCTCTTTTAATCTAAATTCTACCCTTGCTCCTTCTCCTATTTCCTTCCTTACAATCTTATTCCACCCTTGCCCCTTCTATCTCTTTTAATCTAATTCTACCCTTGCTCCTTCT